ATTGAGTTTTGTCTTTTTTTTTTTTAAGACTGTTTTTTAGAGCAGTTTTAGGTTTATAACAAAACTGAGAGAAAAGTACAGAGATTTCCTATACATGCATAGCCTCTCCCATTATCAACATTACTCACCAGAATGGTACAATTTTTACCAAGAATGGATCTACTTTGACACATCATAATCACCCAAAGCTCGTAGTTTACCTTAAGACAACTCTTGGTGTTGTACATTCTGTGGGTTTAGACAAAAATAAAATGGTATACCCGTTATTATCCATAATATACAGAGTTTTTTCACTACCCTAAAAATCCCCTGTGCTCTGCCTATTCAACTCTCCCGTCCCTACTCCACCCCAGCCCCAGCCCCACCTGCCATCCCTGGCAACTACTGATCATTTTACTGTCTCCAAAGTTTTGCCTTTTCTAAAATGTCATATAGTTGGAATCATACAGTTTGAAGCCTTCTCAGATTGGCTTCTTCCACATAGTAATATGCATTTACATTTTGTCCATATCTCTTCATGGCTTGATAGTTCATCTACTTTTAATACTGAATATTCCATTGCCTGGATGTACTATAGTTTATTTATCCATTCACCTACTGAAGGACATCTTGGTTCTTCCAAATTTTGGCAATTATGAACAAAGCTGCTCTAAACATCCATGGACAGGTTTCTGTGTAGACCTAAATCCAGCCTGATTGTTGGATCTTACAGTAAGAGTATGTTTAATTTGTAAGAAACAACCAAACTGTCTTCCAAAGTGGCTCTCTGCTGTGTTTTATTGCAAGGTTCATGGATGTAAGCAATGGCAGCAATGATAGGATAGTAGTCTGTACTCAGAAAGCAGAGTTTTTTAAAAATTTCAGAGCAGAGCACTTCTAAGGCACTAGTGGTTCAAAGAAGTAGCATAGTTGGTAGCAAAGGATGTGGAGGGCTCCTCAAAGTGTAGTTCTTACTATAGTCAAAAAAAAGTTATTAGGGTTCACTTCCAGGCATTTTATAATTTTTAAATATTAAAACATTAGAGTAGAATTTTAGCAGAGAATGTGAAGTCTTGAGGCACTGGGATTTGTAACACTTGCTGTTGGCCGGAACTTCTGCAGACCAGTTTTAACACCCTCTTCTAGGCTCTGAAGAAAAGATCATGAATCAGCTTGAATTGGGTTTTCCATTACTTGGAACACAGGTCCTAACTGAGATTACAAAAAATAAAACAAACAACAACAAAAACTGGCTTAAGCAAGAAGGGGATTTATTGGCTTATATCAAAAGACCAGTCCAGTAGTAGTTCAGGCTTAAGTGTTGGTTTGATTCAAGGGCTCAATGATGTTGTCAAGGACATGGTTCTTCTGTCACTCTTCTCTGTCTTTCCTGGTATCATCTCCACTGTAGGGCTGGCTTCTTATATGGTGTGTTACATTATATACTACACCACACAGAAGGAAAGTAAAACTTCTTTCCCAGAAGAAAAACCTCCAGCAAAAATTTCAGGAAAAAGAAATTCTTCTCTAATCTCACTATCCTAAAATAGATCACATGTCAAGTCCTGAATTGTGGTCAGGAGTACAATTATCCTGATCAGTTATATCTAGAAGTTGTATCTAGAGTTAGTATCCCATAAAAGCCAAGAGGGGCATGTGATCAACAGAGCAAAAATCAGGGTAGTTAATAAGAGAAGGAGAAATGTGCACAGACACATTTCATATTGTCTATTTTCTTTTAGGTTTATAGGTAATATTCCTCCCTGAATTAGGATTCTGTAATGTATAGCAAAGATATAGCCAAGAAGAAAATAAATTTAGACCAGATAATAGCACCTACTATAATGTTCCATTGTTGTTAAAAAATATTTTTCATTATATCCTCTTTCCTGTCTATGAACTCATGTTCAAATCACATCTCTGTTGATGGGAGAAGTTTCTTTGGCAGCTGCAGAAAACTACTCTGTAAATTACCATTTTTAAGAGCAGTCCAGTTCCCAGTCTGTGTCTCAAGAATCCCCTTTTTCTTTTATTCTAGGAAAAGGTATTACTGTCTTGAGGCATAAGGTAAATTCTTTTTAGTATGAAAATACAATCCTTCTTTTCTTTATCAGAATGAAAAAATAAATGCCTAGAGCTTGAGTCTTTTGCAGTCTTTTGCCTATATGTGAATTTAAAGTTCATTTTATCTTATGGCAGGAACACATCTAATTAATTTGGCATTCTTTTCTATATAGCTTTTCCTGGAGGGAGATCTAGTTTCATTTATGATGAACACGTAATTAGTAAGTTAATTTCACTTCCTATATATGCTTTGTAGCTGTCCTATTAGAGTAAGGGGGAGATGCCATGGTGAATTAAGTCCTCTGGTTATTTTAGTCACTCAAAGAGATATTTACTATGTTCCCAGAAATATGTTGGCATTAAAGTGCAATGCACTGGCCACGGCCTCCAGGAGTTCATCTAGCTGGGAAGACAGCCATGAGCTTATAAAACAGTTAAGAAACAAAGCAGAGCAGTGTGAAATTAGAGATCAGAAGTAGTACTACAGGGCGCCTGGGTGGCTCAGTTGGTTAAGCAACTGCCTTCGGCTCAGGTCATGATCCCGGGGTCCTGGGATCGAGTCCCACATCACGCTCCCCCTGCTCTACGGGGAGCCTGCTTCTCTCTCTGCCTGCCACCCCCACTGCTTGTGCTCTATCAAATAAATAAATAAATAAAATCTTTTTTAAAAAAAGTAGTACTACAGAGAGCGAGGGTCACAGGAGAACAGTGTGTGGGTGGACATAGGAGGAATGAAGCTATGGTCACTCTGAGAGGCTGAGGAAGAGCCCTAGAAAAAGAGGACTTGAGCTGGACCTTACAGAATATTTAGATGGGGTAGACAGAGAAAAGACATTGGGGCATAGAGGGATGGTCCGGAGATGAAAAGGAACATTAGCATTTCAAAGACTGATATGAATCCATCCTCCCAAAGAGGAAGGACTGAGTTGGGGGAACAGTGGGAATGACTACACTGGGCTGCCCAGTTACAAACCAATGGGCAGCAGCAAGAGGAGAAGGCACCTCCCTTTGTCAAAAAAGGTTGCAATGTAAGAGAAGAGTTCAGACTCAATCATGGTTCCTAATTTTGTAACCATGTGAACACTAGGGTTGAGTCTGAGGTCATAGCAGGGCATCCAACGGAAATCCTCTTGTAAACAGTAGTGGGGATACATTCAAGCCAAATTTGGGTATGATACAATCCGAAGTTGACTTCTGGATCTGCAGACTTACTGCCAGATGGCTGCACGGTTTCTCTAATTTCATTCATCTCTTGGTCATGTGATTGGATTTTTTGGACTCTACTTATAGGATCACTCTCCTTCCAGAAGCCCTTTTGACAGAGATGTCCAACCAGAATATATAAGTAAAATAATGCTAACTATGGCTTTAATAACCTACCGGAAATACTGCAATTTTTCAAAGAATCTAATGTCCATCCTGGGAGAATACAGCTTATTGATATATTACTGTGTATAGGTAGCATGACTTGTTGCTTATTTAACATAAAAAAAAAACACCCAGTCTCAGCACACATATATGCACACGTATGTCACCAAATTCTAAATCTAGGTGGTCTCAAATTTAGGGCCCATTAATCTAAGGTTTTTACTTAAAACACAGATTCACGTGTCCTGGTGGAGGCCTGCAATCTACATTATGAATAAGGATCTTGTAGCAGAAGAATATTCTTTGGAAAAATACTCCTTTAACTCCCAGGTGTTAAGCTCTCTCAACCAGTGTGCCTGGTTTTAGATGTTCAATAAATATTTACTGTATTGTATTAATGTATTCCCAGACCTAATAGCAACAAGGCACACTTCTTGGCTACCTAAATATATCAAGCCTTCCAAGGGAAAACTATCATTTGATTGATCCCACGTAAGAGAATATAGCAAGGTGCTATATACATGAACTTCACTTGAAGTCAGCCAATCTGGGGTTTATCTCCACTTTCTTGACAAGTCATTAGCCCCCAACCAAATAAATTATTTTTCTTCATTCTTCCATTTACCACACCAGCAGCTCAATGGGGTAGGCAGTTAAAGATGGAGAAGTAAAAACTTATTAAATAAAATTCAATATAAACATGAATTGTACTGTTTTTTTTTTTTTTTTTTTTTTGTAATTTACTACAAATGAGATCTCTAGATCGTAAGTTCCTCCCTATATGATTCTGGGCCTTACATACTGAGCCAAGTTCTGAAGATAGTTTTTGAATCCTTGCTGATTTTTGCTCATTCTTTAATATTACTGTGATATAGTTATTGATTTATTAATTGAATGCATTAATTTTTAAGATGAAATTCTGGCAATTTAAATTAAATGGTATTTGACTTATTATAAATGACTTTCAATATTTTTTTTAAGCCCAGAAATCATCAAGGGCTCCAAAATAAACACAACTGAGAAATTCATGGGAATTTCATATGAAGGCTTTGCTTTAAAGTTCATTAATCTCAATTAATAAAACAAAGAATCCACAAATGACTGTTCACATTTTGTCCTTTCAAAATACATTTTTAAAGGTATTCAATTAACTCTTTGCTTGTTCATGTTCTTTTTCCTTCCACCCAAAGCACGTTAATCAAAAATAGTTGTTTGTAGATCTCTAAACATATTTTAAAACCTCCAAAACTGATTATTTAAGTCATTTTTATGCAGAATTTTATCAAGACCAATTTAGTCTGAAGAGTTACTTGTAAAAGAACATGTCAGATTGCTATTTTAGAAGCATAACTAATACCCAGGTACTAACTCCCACCAGTGGATAGTAACTTTCTAAATATTGAGCAATGTATATATACACTAGGGGATGGAAATTTATCTAAATGGTGCATCCGAGAAGTGTTCCAACATCCATGCCTATTTATGAACTTAATATCTTCTTAGGCATCTCCATCTGAGTAGCTACTTTAAATTTTTAGTTGAATTCAGTTAACACATCAAGCATATATTAAAGTACAGTTTATGAAAATACATGGATGCTTATATATTTCAGACATGAAAGATCTTATGATTGCTAAAGAAAATATAATTCTTTAAGAGATTTTAGTTATTTCCTAAATGTCTTTTTTTCTCCAAACATTAGACGAAGTTGCATTGTTTACAAAAATTTATTCATACAAATTTTACACACTTTATATAACAGTTATCAAAGTCCTAGTTATAGATATCATGTGTGTAATAATACTTGGTTAAGATGTTTTTATAATCAGTTGCACACAAAATAAGAGCTCCAAGACTAACATCTACCTAAATTATCACTATATCATAAATCTGCTCCAGGTTAGTAAGGCTCTTGGCATTTCTAAAAAGTATACAAAAGATTAAACTGGGTGATCACTGTAAATGCTTGCAACTAGCCACGGGAACACTAAATTAGACTTCATAAATAAAAGGTTAACTAGAGCCCTATTTCACCACTAACAGCTGACACAAATACAGAAAACTCTGCCCATTATCCAAGAAACAAATAATTAAGACTAAAATGCAAGCCGATGTGTTGCAGCATTGTAGGGCCACTAAATAGCCATCTGTGATTCGTGGCGATTTAAAAGGCGAAGAAAGGCACTAAAGCTGCAAACTGCATCCCGTGTCACATTGCCTGAGGAGACTGCAGAATTAAAGAAAGATTGATCCCATACACAGGACTCAGGCATAGATCGAATGCCTCTGTGCTTTCTCTGTTTGCAATGTGATCTCCTGGCAGCATCCATCCCGCCTGGGAATGCAAATCCAATTCTGTTTTCTTTGATTTATGACTTCGTACTGAATCAAATCCGTAAAGGAAAAAGAAAAGTCCTTTAAACTTTACAAGCTAATGTTTAATCTTTTCTTGTTCTCTTTTTTTTTTTTCCCAAAAGAATCTGTGCCTGAATTTTGGGAGTTTGGCTGGTTTGCCTGTTGTAGCTTGATCTGGTTGCTGGGTGAAGGTTCTTTTGTTTATAGAGATTACTCACATGTTCAAGGAATTGATAGGAAACAGACAGACATGCTTTCTGTAGCCAAGAAAGGATACAAGGGGGAGGTTCTCAAGGTCTGTTGGAGCTTGCTTACCTCACTTTTGACCACAAATATAATATAGTACTCATACATATGAAGATGAGGTTTAAATGATTTATCAGTTAGAAAAACTGAGCAACATGTGAACACTACACATTCTAATATGACAAAGGTTGGTTTTATGAAATAAATTTTACTAAGCAATAAGCCATAATGTAGAAAAATACATTTTACCTACAAACTCAATAAACAAGAAACAAAAGGTTCATATTTAGTGCATAATTACTTAGTGGTAACTACACAGGGGTTCGTAAACTTTACAATAAGTGCTTGCATCAGACGACAAAAAAAGTAAGAAGCATTCACAAGTTTAAGAGAAATGAATGAAAAATGGTAACCGGTACTTCAACAGTGCAAGAGGGTGGGAAAGAGTCTTCAGAAAATCACAAAAGTGTGGCTCCTACAGAGCCGGGTTCAAAGGGGAGCATCCTGGTCATTTCACAAGATGAGAAGCATTGACAGCACTGGAGAAAAACACATTGTACTTTGCATCCATTTCCAATATCCAGCGCCCAAAGTCAGTCAGGCAGGGGACCTGTGGTGGGACTCGGCTTACCCTCAGCCTCCCAGACCTGGGGCAGCTCCAAACCAGTCCCTCTCCAGGGTCCTCCTCTGACTGCTTTATGCTCTGCCTCTTCCAATATACCTACATTTCCTTCACTCTGTTCCAATTGCCCTAACCTCGGGATATTGAGTTTCCTGGAAGTACAAAAAAGGGAGATTTTTCTACCAAGTCTCCCTTCTCTGTACAACCCAACACTTCCCCCAGGGAGTGGTGTGAATTCTGGGGAGAAGCACAATTTGCACTGAGCTGTTGTTTTTATCAGGAGAATTTCCTCTGGGCTGAGAGTCTGAAGAGAGACAAGTACACATAAAAGTAGAATCAAAGAAAGCAGAAGTATTGGAATTGCCACCCAGCGAGGGGGACAAAAGGGGACAGTCCTAGTTGAGTTCAGCTGGGACTGTAGCAACCTGCCCCAGAGACTCGCTAGGAAAGAATGCCCTTCAGCAATTCTCCCAAATCATTACCTCCAAATCTCCCTGGAGCAGGGCATCGTTATGTACAGTAGCAAATGGTCAGTATTAATATCTTCAGGCCTGTCGTGGATAAAAATACTATCCTTTTAATTCCATTTTACAAAAATAGGAGTAATATTCAAAACAATGATTGTCTATTTTTCTATTTATTTTATATAAAAACATAAACAGCTCAGGCGAATTTTCAATCCTTGTGCACACTCTGTATGAACTGCTATTATACCTATAAATATTCTTAATATATATATTTGTAATATATATATCAATAATTGGTCCACAAAGTATATCTGTGCATTCTCTAGTGCTTTGTAAAAAGAAAAAAACAATATTATCAAAATATTCATTTAATGGCTTTACTTCATACATAAATACATGTTTGGATAGAACACATGAGCGATGACTGTTCAGTCAGGTGGGAAAGTGACTTGTCATTGTGTCAGGATTGTATACACAAGGTAGCTGGTAACTCACCACTACAAATACGCTATTCGGCGTCCTTTGTTTTTAACCCTTTGTTTATACCTTTTCCCTAGGACGGCGGCCAAGTATTTCTTGACAGCCATTTGTTTCCGGTAGCGACTGTAGCTGTCGGTGAAGATTCCGTCTGAGTGGCGCTTGGAGAGAGACTCCGAGTCGTCCTCCGCGCCGCCGCCTAGGTTCCCACTGCAAGGAAAGGGGTCGGGAAGAGGTGGCGGGGCGGGAGACACAGATTCAATAGCTGCGGGGAGCAGGTGGGCCCCACCCCACGCGGGAGCCTTCAGGGAAGGCACGGCTCTCATTGCCCACCGCGCCGCCTTCCTCTGCCAATAAGCAGCCGGAGGGGAGGGCTGTGATGGAAACCCCTCATTCCTCCCTCCCCACCGAGGCTTTCCTGGCACTAAATCCTTACGGAAGGGACCCGAGATGAGGTCCGGGCCAGAGGCATGCGCGAGTCACGCCTAACCTGTCCCCAAATACTGCCCTTTGAGATTTGACCATCCGCGCTTTTGCACTAACTTGTCCTAACTGTTCCTCTCACCCCTCCCACCACCACCCCCCTCCCCGGTACAGAAAAAATAACCAGAGAGCCCCAAGTGCCACGTTGGCTGCTTCCTGGGAGTTTTACATCGATTCTGCAATTCCTAGTCAGACATGAGCACTCCTCCCCTTGCGCACGCTAAGTTGAAAAACGTGGTAACAATATAAGTCGACAGGCTGTAGGCAATATTTTTCATCACATGAATTATTCATTGCGAAAAATGTAATCTGTTTCCCCATGGGCTTTATTAAAACGTTGCCTTCTGCTGAGAGATGCTCCACGCAAGCCCTGTGCTCTGTCTGGGTTTGTCTGGCACGCGCAAGAACTGTTTGTTTCCCTAACTGCCCAAATTTGAGGATTTGTTGGGTTTCGATTTGAATTTACAGTAAAAGAATGGTTTTAAAAAAAAAAAAAATCATGCTTAGAAGAAATTATAGCAAATCGTCCCGCGAAGCTCGAAGGTTTTCAATGACTGGGAGAGGTGAGAGGGGAGGGAAGGAGACTATTTGGTTTTTCTTTGTTTTTTTAATTCAAAACGATCAAACTCCCCGGTTTCTTTGCCCTCTCCTTGCCTCTTGCCTCTCAGAACTGTCTCGCCAAACTTAAGGCGCTACATCAGAACCTTCGCCTGTGATCGCCCGCCGGCCCCGAAGACCCTGCGGCGCAGACGCACCCTCGGGCCCACGCGCACGCACGAACGCAGACGCGGCACCGCCCACCCCGCGCGCGCTCGCACGGACACCCACCCCGGAGCTCGCGCGCCGTTCTGCGCCGCTTAACTCTTTCGCAAACTCTTACCCCAGGCCCTTGGCCACGAGTGTCTGCAGGTATTTCCTGGCGGACAGCTGGTCCCGTACTTTGCGGTAGGCCTTGTTAAGGATCCCTTGGGCGACATCTCTAACGGGGAGGCAAAGTGAGCGCCCGAGGTCACTGACTTTGTCCCCAAGAGGTCGCCCCAGGCCCCCAGCTGGGCACGCACGCGCCTCGGCGCTTCGGGAGGCTGACGGGAAACCCCTCCGGAGGCACAAAACTAGCGAATTACTCTTTCGGGATGTTCCCGCGACTGACTGCTAGGAACGGGAGTTCCTGCTGTCCTCCAGGGATGGCAGGCATCGAATCTGGTTGGGGCGCGCACTCCCGGCCATTCCTTGGGCCACAGACCTTTTGGTCCCGCGCGACCCTTACGGCCACACAGACCGACCCGCTACTAACTTTCTGTCGCTCTCATGGGTACCAGCCAGAGAGAAAAGAGGCTTGAGGGGTTTTATGAAAAACAACCTATTCGGTGGGCCACCACCCTACCCCTCCCGCCACCTCAGTCCCGGGCCGTAGCGGAGGCCGCGCGGGTGGTACCTCTTCTCTGCGGGGTAGTAGAGCGCGTAGGCGTCGCGCAGCGCGGAGGCGGGGCTCCCCACGCCGGGAGGGTCAGAGTCGTAGAAGTACTGCAGCGGGTTTCCGTCCACGTCGTACGCCTCGTCCTCCGGCCTGCGGGGATAGCCGGGGAGGTAGAAGGAGTGGTCAGTGTAAGTCCCTCCCCGGCTCTGCAAGGACCCAGAGAAAGGGGCTCGCGATTGATTTTCCTTCTTTCTAAAGGTCCCCCCACGGAGAATTGACACTTCTTCCGGGACGGAGGAGGGGGTAGAGGGAAGGCGAAAGAAAGTACACTCAAGAGAAATTCCCCATCCCTCCAAGTTGCTCTCCGACCCGTCCTCTCGCGGATAAAGGGTCGCCCTTGCAGGGCCCTGGGAAGCCGAGATGTCTGTGCCGACCCGGTACACCTGGCCATCGAAAAGGATCTACCTCCCTACGGGCCTGGCGCCTGAGCCCCAAACAAGCAGCCACGGGCGGGGACGAGAGACAAGACGCAGGCCAAGGCGAAGACCCGATAGGGAGGCCCAGAGAGAAACAGAGGGAGGGTGGATGGGTGGGGTGTGCGGCGCCCGACTCCGCCAGCCACCCCCACCAGCCTCTGAGCCCAGGGGAGCCCTTCCCCGCGCAGATGTAGGTCACGGAGAACCTCCGACTTCTATTTTGGGCGGGAGAGGATCTGGCAGGAACATGAATAATAGATGCCCCTAAACTTAGCCCGTTTGGCCGTGGCTCATTCTGTGGCATGTCCGCGCACTCTGGTGCTCCTCGCCCAAGGAAAGTGCCAGGCACTCGGGACTTTGAAAATTGCTAGGAGTGAAATAGGACTTTTAAATCCGCTAAATAAATAGTTCGCGCTAATCTGTTAGGGATGTTGGGCGGCGGAAAGGGAAAGGGTCAACAGGGGACGGAGAGCCAACAGGAGCGCCGCGGTCTCGAAGTCGCCCTTGCCTAGCGCCTCTATCCTTGATATAGGACGGGAAGTGATGGGCTAAAACGCAAAACCCCCTCGCTTTGGGCCGCTGGAGAGAGTCGGAACGCGGCCAGGGCAAGTAGCGCTCTCTAGTAGGGTTTAGAGTCGTACTTCGTTATTCTGTTCGCCTTTCCTCCATCCGTGGAGAGGTAAGGACAAGGCAAGCACATGCCTCCGTCAGCCCCACACCCACCCTTCGTCGGCGACGCGCCTCTTCTATAGCCCAGCTTCCCAGAGTCCCCGGGTCTTTCTGGCCACTTTCATCCCTGCCCCGTGTCCGGATGCTGGAATCCTAATATTGAAGTCAGAACCCATCTCTCCGGCCAAATCAATGGTCAGCGGCCCCTAAAGGCGACCTTTCTTGGGCGCGGCTCCGAGAAGCAGCTTTGCCGGCAGAAGGCGCGCTCCTAGCTGCAGGGAGCCGGGAGCCCAGCGGAGCGCGGAAGCTGCGTTGCAAAGGGAGCTTCCACTCTCAGGCTGACCACCCCAGGACTTTGGGCTGCGTAAGGAACCTGGCAGTGCCAACCGATTAGAAACCAGGGGTTAAGAAAAAAGCCAGGATTACTCCAGCCTCGGGCGGGCAGGGTTGTCCTGGTCCTGCCTGCCTGCCTGCTTTCTCTTCCTCCTGCCTTGCATCCGTTTCATCCGTTCCTCCCCTTTCCTTTCAAGACCTCCAAACAAGCTCCCCCTTCCTTTCAGATTCATTCTTGTTCTTCCTTCTCTCAAATCGCTTTTCCTCAACCATACCCGGCCAACACTCCTCCTCCCCAAGACAGTCTGAGATTCAAATTGCAGTTGGAAAATGTATCACTTGAGAGAAAGCTCTTCCAGGGGAAAGAATTCGAATTGAAGCGAAAGGGAGATCAGAGGAGAGAGAGGGAGACCCCGCCCCGATAGTCCAGAACAAGCTGTAACAAAGCAAAGTCCACGGGAGCTTCACGCTCAACCCTCCAACCTGGCTGCGGGCACCAGAGAAGAAGTTCTCCTAACTCAAGCTAAGAATAGGGAAAAGAAGTCAAGCTCGGGGCCCGGCCCTGCCCCCCGCGGGCGGGGCTGGGGGAGGGGAGGTTTCTCTAGCCGGCTGAAGCTCCCTTGCTTTACCCCGGCCCCTTTGCTGCGGCGGGCTGGGCTGGGGGAGGGGCGCTGAGCCGCAGTGGAGCCTGCCCGGACCTTGTGCTGAGCCGGGTCCAGGGCCAGGGACCCGAGGCCGGACCCAGGCTGACAGCGGCGTACTGGGAGCCGGTGGGGAGATGGTCATAGCCGGGACCGCGCAACTGCAGGAGGACGACCAGGAGGAAGTGTTAGGGGAAACCAAGCCTCAGCTCAGCCCGGGCGGCCAGCACCTACCTGATTCCAGGAAACCGGAGTCCTGCGGCGGCAGGTGAGCAGTAGACGCTGCTGTGCATTATTATCCCGTAGACCAGGAGGGCCAGCCTCGCTCCGCTACACATGGTCATTCTGCGCAGAAGGGAAAAGAGGGCACACAGCTGTCAGAACGCCCCTGGCCTTTCACCCGCCAACCCCAGGAAACTCCCCGAGCTGGGGGAGGGACAGAGCAAAGCTCCGGCTCCCAGTGTTGAATACCGCTTAATGACAGCCTGTGCGCACCCTGCCACTTCCCTCTCGCTATAGTGAGAAAAAAATATGTATATACCTAGAGCCCGATAACTCGCCAAACCTGGTGCGAAGGAACGCTAACTCGTACCCTGATGCTGAGGGGTGAAAGAATCAACAAAGGAGTCGTTTGGTTTGGTAAGATATTTTTCCCCTTACCATTCAACTCTTACCGCTGCTAGGAGAGGTTTGTTGCCAAGTAAGACGGCGGGCAAAGGGCTCCTCCAAGTTTCTGCGCTGGAGTCACAACCCAAGAGGCATCACCGTCTGGCGTTAGTGTCTGAGAAGCCGCAGGAATGAGCAGGAGCAGCAGGAGGAGCTGGAGGACTTGTTTGCTGAGGCCAGTATTCTGTTCAAAAGTTTGCAGACGCACAGAACTAGAAGGAAGCGTGACACCGAGAGAAGGGGGCGAGGAGAGAGATGGAGAAGGAAGAAAGAGGAGGCGAGGAGCTCAAGTGGGGGTGGGAGACAAAGTGGCCTAAGTCCACCAGGAGAAAGAAGTAAGTGATTAAGGAAAAGAGGGAAAGTCAAAGAAGTAGAAGAAGGAAGAGGGAGGGCCGCAGCTCAGCTGGGGTCTGCTGGAACCGCCTGGTCAGGCAGTTGTGCAAGTCGGCAGCGCCTTCTCTGCTCTGAGGTCCCTCTGGCTGTGTCTGAAGCTGCGGCTTCTGCAGCTGCTGATGCCAGTGGTTACAGAGGTGACCGGCCCTATGCTCCTATTTATATGTGCAGTTAGCAGAAATCTATCTGAACGTGGTTTTAGAAGAGCCTTCCTTGTCAACATCTGTCTGCCTGTGGCCTTTAAGTACAGAATATTTTGTTGCACTGTTGCGCTCCGATTTTTATTCATGGAATGACTTCCTTTTTTTTTTTTTTTTCAGTCACGTAATGATCGGGTATCAGAAAAAGACGTCAGCATCCTAGTCCCTCAAGGAACATATTAACTATTCTGTGCTGTCCTCTTGGATGATAAGATCCGGAGTCATCGACTTCTCATAAACACCTTTCACTCATACAATCCAATTTTTAAGAAGTGCAGTTATTTTGATGGTTTTCAATTTTACCCATTTCTCAAGATGGGTAACGAATTCATAGAATTTCAAGGATGGTAAAAGTCATGTTTTTAATTATGTCACTACGATTTCTCTTTACTTTTCATCAAGCCCCAGCAATCAGAGCTCTGGTCTCTGGAATTAAGCACCATCAAGCTCTCCTATTAATAAATTTAATTTAGATCTCCTAATTTCTTGCGTATGTTCTTTTAGATAGACAATTAAATGTGGAAGTCGTTTTGTTTTTAAAGGGAAGTCTTGGAGGATTTTCAGTAAATCGCTAATGAGTCTGGCTGTCGTTGACAGTCTGGCTATGAGTAGATTGATTAGACTTAAAGCTGCGACCCGATCGCGGCCTGTGGAGCTGTCCAAGCTCTGAGTGCTGAATTCTGGTCGCAGATGCTACAAACATTGAAAATTGCTGTTGGTTTAATTTTTCACCAGAGCCTCTAAATCTGAAGATTTGGCACTGATACTATTAATGTGGCAATTCACTGTCCAAGTCTCCCCACTGTTCAGATACGTTCCCCCTTTGCAGTGTCCATGAATACCCTTAATGCTGAGAACAGTCAGACCCTGCCTACATTTGAGTAAAGAGCATTGTGTTTCCTGTTAGTTCTGGTTTTTAGATCTCTAGATGGCCTATTTGAACACCTTCACACTTTCTGTGGCTCTTACTGATTTCAAAGATTGAAACTGTGAAATTGTATTTTCCACAAAACTTGAAATTTTAAGAATTTGGTAGTGAGAAATACGTTATTCCCCTTTATTTACAACTTGAGTTCTGTTTGGGGAAATACAGACAGACTGGGAAAGTGTGAGGATTCCCAGTACAAGTTCACTTGCTGAGGGTTTCTAACGGGAATCCCTCCATTGGGAACCGTTAAAAAATTTTTTTAGCTGAAAATGACGTGGGAAAGCAATAAGAGAAGACTACAGCCACCCGGAGGCTTTCAAGCCCCTGGGCAATTTAAGAAGATTCCTAAATTTCTACTCCAGTAAGAGAAAATCAAGTCTATTTCTTTTTATTGCTCAAAGGAAATAGAACCATCAATAACCATTAGTGTGCATTTTAATTATTTGGACCTTAAACAAAACTTAGAGGAAATGGCAATTTAGTGGGAGTATTTCCTATTATAATTTGGAGCTAACATTTAAATAAGCTATATTAGTTCTGCATGCTTTTCCTAAGACAAAATTATAATGTTTCTCATTCAGAATGCCTTTCCTACTTTCTTTTTTAAGATCTAATATTTCCTTCAAGAAGACAAAGTTTTGCTCATTCCTGGGCATTAATGACCAGAGGCTACTCGCTGCTTCTTAGTTTATTCCTGGGGATGCTCCAGATTACCTGCCTGCAATAACCACATCTATGTGGGGATGTATCTCTTTGTCTCCAGTGCATGTGTTCGCATATTTATGTTGGAGTATTTACATGCATGTGTTCTGTGTTCAGCTCTGCCTCTGGAGTAAATTCTCACACAAAGAGCCTGCGGTGAACACGACCAACCGGATAATCAAGCAGAGACATCTTTCTTACTAAAGCGCCCAAAGCTATTACCGACGGTGACTTTCCTGTCTTCCGCCTTGCTTCGCGTCAAAGGTGAACCCGATTAAAAAATCCTTACTCTTCCCACCCACGCGAATTCTGAAATGAGTTCAATCTGTAGAAACATTTGAAAATTTCCAAGACTCCCTGTACAAATTCACTACTCAACTTTAGTAAAGGGAGCCACCATGTGGGGAGAATGTTGACTTCACGGCCTATCAAAAAGAAAACCACAAACAACATTAACTTTGTGGGGTGCGTGACGGAACTACTGGCTCCGGGGCCCGCCAGAATCTTAACTGTGCCCTAGTTTGCAAGGGCTGTGCCACTTCCACTCTGCTCAGCTTAGGCACTCAGGACCTAACTAGGCGCGGAACTCGGGGCCCAGCAAGCACTCCATCACCGAGGGCCTTGAGGCCTGAACCCATTCACGAAAGTGAAAGACTAAGCAAAGAAATCATTTGGAGATTCTTAGTCACTGACCTTCAGAAAATCAAGCTTCCAAGACCCAACCGTTGCTGGGCACAATCTAAAGACCTGCCCAGCCGGGACCCACAGCTGCCTGGGGGAATCGAGTTAGGGACAGGACGGTCCCACGGATCTTTCGAGCCACTGACGGTCTCTGATTAGGCGACTTTGGCATCCTTTGAGTAAAGAAGCTTTCCTATTCTCAAAAGTTCTGGCCCTGGGCCCTTGAGCCCGGGGGGTACCGGGAAGGCTGCGGAAGGGGAGGAACTAGAAGCTGAGGACCGGACTCCAACAAAACTGCGAGAGTCTGTGGTTGCATCCCCACCTCGCCAAATCCTCCCGCGTGAGCGTAGGCTCCTCCTGCTTTCTATTGGATGGAGGCAAATACCGGGCAACGGATGTCTCAAAGACCAAAACTATCCCCCAAGTCCTCCCTGAGAGTAGTAATTTGCTGTTAATATCGAGGAACATTCTAATCAGAATGTTAACTGCCGCTGCTTTCGGGGAGCATTTGTGTCTGGGGAGCGGCGAAGAAGAGGGGTGCATCAGGTAGAAATGTGGAGCTGGAAAGGCCCGGACCAGCACTGACGAAGTGTCCCGGCCGAGGCCACTTAGGAAACCGCGTCTGGTACGGACTAGTTCATTGCAAATGCAGACACGATCTGGCTTAAAGCGAGGCCTGGGGCCTTCGAGGAGTGTTCACCCAACGCATCCTTTCTGGGAGAAGGGGAAAGAGGAGGGAGAGTGAAAGGAGAACCGGGGCAGGACAGGGCAGGGCACGACAAGGGGGAGAGCCTTCCAATTTTATCCTGATCTCACCCTGGTTCTCTCCCAAAGAGATGTTTACATCCTCCTAAGGCGACTGAGGTTAAAAGCGAGAGAAACCGTCAGATATCCTGTATATAACTGAAAACGACAGGGGAGAAAAGGGAGGGAATGAAGAAGGGACCCAAAAGTTAGAACTTCCTTTCAATTAACAGATAACACAAAGGAATTTCAAGTACCCTTTCAGGCAACCCCGTCCTGTCCCCACAACGTTCACCAGACCTAGTAGAATTCCTAGGCAGCAAAGTTTCTTTCCTGGCTGTGGAAGCGAAGACTGGTGTAGACTAGACTAGATTGGAATCACATCTAGTTAGAAAAGCTAATGCAACCACGGAAATCTTGCCAGTGGTAGGTTTCTCCTACGTCCTCTGAGAGCAGGAGGGACAGAAGGCATCCCTCTGGGGCTATGCCTCCACCTACCCAGCACAGGCTATTTGAAAATATTTGTTGAAAATGATCAGAGACCTTGAATTTCAATCCCCTAATGTATTAATTGCTTTTTGTCCTGTTTGTCCTTAAGATATGAAAACATGACTTTTGGTCTGAAATGGTGAATCCTAGCTACAAGTCAAACTAATACTTGCCTGAATTGTTTTTTCTGGTCACTTGACACATCTGTCCTTGCTGAAGTTTCAAGCCTTGAAACCTCAATCAACACTCAAATTAAAGAATGCTTTAGCCCTTGAAAAGGTGAGTTTTGTATCCAAACAGGAGAAATATGTCTAGTATATTTACTGAGAGTTTGAATTTGCAGATAGTTTCACAACATTAGCAAATACTTGGCATAGACAGGACTCAGTTCCCTAGGGTAAGGATATTTTCACCACTTTCCTTTTGGCCTAGCTACGCATCCTACATGTAGTTTCCATGAGTTCACTTTTCCTTTTATGGCTATGTAGCCCTCCCCCATTGCCCTATACCTCCTCTCTCCCCATCCCCTACTCTTACTGATTTTTTTTAACCATATGAAAGGACATGTTTGCACACAGCATCTTCATAAATTCCTAGT